TAAAAAATGATAATACTTTTATGAATAAATGCAGGGAAGTTTATCTTTTTTTCTGCGCTATTATTAAGATTTTGATTGGTACTTACGACAAACACATTATGTTCCAAGCTTTCTTCGGACCCAAAAATTACCTGTGAGGCTAAGGGTTAATCAAGGTTAATAAAGCATAATACCTCCAAAGTTCAGCAGTGGGTAAAAGCTGGCCAGCCATCTGGGCTCTCGAAGGCTTTGACATAGTCCGAGATAAATCAGACAGCCAACTTCTCTACAGAAAAATTGAAAGGGATAAAGCTCTGTAGAGTCACCGTAGTCTTCCATTTTGAGGAAAAAACCTCGTAAAATCAAGTTCACTTTTCTCACTGCCAATGTCCACTGGTTCCCCTTAGGCTAATTTCTGTCCGTATCTTTTCATGCAAGAGGAATGAAGCTGTGAACAGCTGGTGAGCACGAAGAAGGCGTGAATCATTGCAGAACGTCGTTTCCTTTGCGTGTATAAAGGCCTTAATCTACCCTTCTTTTTTGAATTTCTTGGATTAATTGCTACAGATAAGCAGGAAAAGGCTGTCTGCTCAGCTGGCATTTGAGATAAACACACAAAAAGCTCGTTTTTTTAGACTCTCTTGTCTTCTTCTGGGGAAGCAGTTGTTAGCAAGTGGTCATATTTGAATGAAAAAACAAGTAAACCCAGGCGAGCGTGTGGGTGGAACCCTCGAAAAAAATTCATTGATGAATGAAATCTCGCTTTTGTTCTTCTTAGCGATTAATGGACGGTTTTAAGAGAATATAAGGTACTGTTTCAAGATAAGTTTATACTAAAGGTTGTAGGGAAGAATTTCCTGGCAATTACGAAAATATACTTGACGATGAATAAATTCAAGCGTAATTAACGCTATGGTCAAGTTAGTCTTACTGAGTTTATTGTGTAATTACACACAATGTATAGCGCAGATGACTGTCGTTGTCTGCAAGTTTGACTTCCGCGATTTCTTGATCTGGTGTGTAGAGTGCAGTTGCACTAGTGCAAAATTC